CTCTCTCTCTCTATATATATATATATATATATATATATATATATATATATATATATACTAGCAGTAGAGCCCGGCGTTGCCGGGGATATAACAGTAAGAGATAGATCAAGTATCGACCATCATAAAGAATGAAAAATAAAATTGACAAAGATTATTGTTTAAGGTTGACGAACACGCATGTCTTAATTAAATTTTTTTTTTTACGAATTGGTCAAACCCAAATTCAAACAAAAACATTGTTTACAATCGTTATGAGTCTATCGATTGGTGAATAGAATTTTATTATAAACAATTGTCTTTTAAATGGAATTTTTAAAGCATTCTGAATGTAAATAAAGAAAAAAAAGTGTGCAAGACAATAAGAAATACTACTTGCCGAAAAAAAAGTGGATGTTTGTTTTATCGGCTGAAAAATGTAAGAAATCCGATCCCATATATAAAGGAAACACACACACACACACACACACACACACACACACACACACACATAAACAACCTGGGTTTTTAACCTAAGTCACTCCACGGAATCGCTAAAAAATAGAGCATAGTCTGATGAAAAAGACGCCAAAGTTTATGAAAACAAAATTTTATCGTCAAAATGCTTATGTTTTTTATGAAGAGGATAGACTAAATTTTTTTTAATTATTTTTAAAAATTTTTCCATCTTTTAGAATATTCTAAATTTTGATTTAAAAACCTTGTTTCTCTTTGTCGCAACAGGGGGTAGTAAATAACATAGATAATTTTTAGCGCGTTTTTTTTGTATTTATACACATTAATTTGGAAAATCTTGCAAAAATAAAAATAATTGTCAGATGTTAATGAAACTTTCAGAAACTATTCACAGATGATCGAAATTATTATAAATATGTTTTTTTTTTTTAATTAAAGTCATGGCAGAAATATTTTTTTTTATATTTATTAACACCCCATAACTAATTTTATGAAAAACTCTAGAAATTCAGAGACCATCGGTTTTAGTGATTACAATAGTTAAAAGCACAAGGCTTTGAAGAATGCAAATCATGTTTTTTTTTTTTTTTTTTTTTTTGGCCAACGTACCTGAAAATCAGCTGTTAATTGTAACATACAAAACTCAATAAAATAAATATATTATTTAGTTTCAAATGCTTTTTATTTGTTTTAATTTGTTTTTATGAATATGGACAATATTTTCTGAAAGCAAAATTTTTTTTTCAATGAAAATTGAATTTTAATACAATTATTTCTTATTTCTTTAATTTTAAAAGATTTTTAAAAAATGTTTAAATTGAATTTAAAAAAATATTTTAACATTAATTAAAACTTAAAAGCAACATCAACCTTTCAAAATGTCCGTGTGAGATTGTCATTGTCTAGCGCTTTGAAAATTCTATAATTTGGACCAATCAGATTAGCCATGGTAATTAAGAAATGTAATTTTTGTGTTTATAGTCGGACAGTAATTATCAAGTACGGAAGACCAACCAGAATACAATTTAGTTGCATTATTTGAGTTCAGCATTGTTCTCCGCTGTTAAGCCCTTTACTTTTGCGAAACACCTATGGAGAAGTTAATTTGAGTTTTCAATTTCAACTGAGAAGGGTACCTACAAGTAACAGTATCATCTTATGAAATTTAACTACTGCTAATCTTTAATTTATATGATCTTATTTTTATAATTAATCTTAGTTATGACATTTTTCCATAAATGAAATATCAAAATTAATAATAAAATGAATGGAAATACAAATAACACAGTAAAATGTAATAAATGTACATAAAATTATAGTATTTTATGTACACTTCTGATAAAATTTCATAAGAAAGGTACCTAAATTAATTAGATACCTTTTTCTTATGAAATTTAATCTCACTATTTACAGTCTTATTTTTTAATTTCTTTATATTTTCCATAAAAGCATCGTAAACGTAAAATGAAAGCTAAGTACAAAAAAAAATAAAAAATAAAAATAAAAAAATTGGAGCGCTGAAAGTTTTCCTTAAAAGTAACAAGGTAAATAATTTGTTCACTTAAATAATTTCACTTCCTTCCATCCGTAGAAAGAATTCTCCTCCCGTAAGTTATCTAAACGTCATGAATGTGCCTTTCGTCAATCGTCAAGCGACGCGAAAGGTTATGACCTGCTTTGTTTTTTATTTTCAAATTACATTTTTCGGCGCAGAAGCTAAGTTAAGCTTGGTTCAAAATATTTTAAATAAACAGTATAATTTCTGTTTTTATTAAAATCAGTTTTGAAAAAATGGTAATTGATTTTTAAAAGAATATCAAAGTAAGATTTTAATCTTTTTTATCAAATCGAAAAAAATGATTGAAAATGATTCTGTCCTATTTTTGCCCAAAAAAAAACAATATTTTTAACGAAAATTTCAGACGTGCTAGGAACGATTAAAAAATGTAAAAAAAATACCCCCAACAAGTTCGGCGTCTTTTTCATCACGCTATGCTCTTTTGTTTACATTTTCGTGGGTGAGTTGTCCCCCTTTCATTCTCACGATGTGTCTTAATCGTGTTTTCAAAATTATTTTATTAAAAAAAACAACTGTGTTTTTCCCATTTTCGGTCCCGTTAGAACAACCACAAGGTGATTTTATGTAGTCCTGTGAAGTTTTGTTGAAATCGGCTAAAAAATGTAGGAAATTCGATCCAACATATAAACGTTACAGACACAGACACACACACACACAACCTGCGTTTTATAATAAGTAAGATATATATATATATATATATATATATGTAATTATATATAAAAATTATATATTTAATTATATGTATATTGTATAATTCCTAGACTATTATTATTAATTTATATATATATATATATATATATATATATATATATATATATATATATATATATATATATATATAAATTATATATATATTTTTTATATCATTCCAGAAAAACAATACCAACAGGAAATAATTTTGTTTGGACGTTTTATATCATTCCCAGACCATATCTATTCATCTATCTATCTATCTATCTATATATATATATATATATATATATATATATATATATATATATATATATATATATGCAATTATATATAAAAATTATATATGTAATTATATGTATATTATATAATTCCCAGACCATTATTATTAATTCTATCTATCTATCTATCTATCTATCTATCTATCTATCTATCTATCTATATATATATATATATATATATATATATATATATATATATATATATATATAAATTTATATATATATTTATATCATTCCCAGACAACAATACCAACAGGAAATAATTTTGTTTGGACGTTTTATATCATTCCCAGATCATATCATTATATGTAATTATATATATCTATCTATCTATCTATCTATCTATCTATCTATATATATATATATATATATATATATATATATATATGTAATTATATGTATATTATATCATTCCCAGACCACAATACCAACAGGAAATGTTGCTGTCTTCAGATGCCACATTCGATTTCCTTCTTGAGTTACTTAGTTTCGCAAACATTTTCAAAGACATATTTTTGTCTACAAGGATTGCAATATCTTTCAGAAAGTATATGTTTTACACGGGATTTTTCGGGACTATCTACACTCTTGTGCAAATTAATTTGAGAGGGAGATGTGGAGGGCCATGATCACTACACCCTTGTGCAAAATAATTGAAACAAAACGAATAATTCTGTCATTATTTACTTTATTTCGTATTTTTCCAATGAAGCATGACCCAATGCACATGTTAGTACTTCTTATGCCCATTCCACGAAGTCGTTCCTTGCAGACTGACCACAGATTCACGATTGGATGTAAATCAGGAGAGCTTCCAGGCCAGTCTATAGTACTTTGATTTGCTCACTTGTAACGCTTGACAGACAATGACCGTAGGACAACTGATCGACAGTTGAAACAGTAGTGTCAGGGCGTGATAAAAATCTGATGCAATCACGGATGACGCAATTTTTTTCAAGGCCAAACAAATTTCATCTTACAGCGTGAAAATAGATTCATATTACTGCACACCACTGCAAATGACCTAATCTGAGGGGAAAAAATAGAAATCGACAACACCCTGTCACTCCAAGTGTCTCTAAAACTGGCGGTATGGTGAAAGAAGGAAAATAAAGCCGTTGTCTCAATTAATTTGTACAAGGGTGTATATAGTGCTTTTGTAAATACCTTATAAGTATATCAGAGAAACTATACACGAAGATAGATTCATATTACTGCACACCACTGCAAATGACCAAATCTGAGGAAAAAATAGAAATCGATTACACCCTGTCACTTCAGTGGGTCTAAAACTGACCTTATGGTGAAAGAAAGGAAACTAAAGCAGTTGTTTCAATTAATTTGCACATGGGTGTATATAATGCTTTTGTAAATACCTTACAAATATATCACAGAAACTATACACGAAGATAGATTCATATTACTGCACACCACTGCAAATGACCAAATCTGAGGAAAAAATAGAAATTGATTACACCCTGTCACTCCAGTGGGTTGAAAACTGACCGTATGGTGAAAGAAAGGAAACTAAAGCGGTTGTTTCAATTAATTTGCCCACGGGGGTAGTCGATTTCCCTGGATTTCCATCTCACACTAAACACTAAAATTCCACATGACGGTAACCGATTTATTCTGTGTCACTTGTAGAAGCTCTTTGTCCGTGTCAATTCACTTTGCGAGGGAGGTTGAATGTGCGGCATATTGACCAATGTTTGTACTGAGCAGCCGTTATAAGTAGCCTGTTGGCGCCATTCAGCTGTATTATTCGGCCATTTGTTTCTGGAGGTTATTATCATTTATTTATTTTTGAAAGAAAAAGGAACAAATGTAATCCATTTCACTAGGTCATTATAATAACAAGTTATCTGTTCATTCGCAATTCCTTTCTCACCTTCCCTGTTTGGAGAAATCGAAATAAACAGGACGCATCATTCTCTTTTGTAAGCTAACAATAACATAATGGAATTCCCTTCAGCGCGATGAGCTGTAGAATTGCAATGGCTGGATTTTCCCCTCATCTAAAGTTAATATGTTTTAAGCTCTTACGAGGACGTTACTTGCGATTGAGGCTTAGTCGGTCGTGGGTATTATGATGCATAATTTCATTAAAATCTCCGAATATCCAGCGTCGTACTGTGGCTGCCTGAGACCCCGCGTCAACTTACTTTAGGGTCCAGCCCTTACAAGGACGGGTCTGTCGCGCATTTCTGACGATGTTATAGATCCTGGGACTCGTCAAGAGAAACTACCGCTTTGTATCAACTTCATTCATTTACCTTTTCTTTTCTTTTTTCATCTTCTTTTTTTCTCTCACGTAATAACAGTGACAATTTATCTCCTACTCCTCCTGATCCTCCTCCTTCTCATCATCATCATCATCATCATCAACAACACCATCATCATTCCTCCTCCTCCTTCTGATTCTTCTTTTTTTTTCTTTCGTTCTTTCTTTTTATTTTCAGTTTCTTTCAGCTCTTCTTTAACTTTCCCCTTTATATTTATTTTATTCATCCTTTCTTTTATTCCTTCATTCTGTTATAGATTCTGTTCAGTTTTTTATTCCTTCATTCTTTTATTCATTCCATTTTTTATTCCTTCATTCTTTTATTCATTTTATCGTTGATGCATTCATTCTTTTATTTATTCCAATTTTTATTCCTTCATTCTTCTGTTCATTCTATCTTTTATTCATTCATTCTTTTATTCATCTATCTTTTATTCCTTCATTCTTTTATTCATTCTATTTTTATTCCTTCATTCTTTTATTCATTCCATTTTTTATTCCTTCATTCTTTTATTCATTTTATCGTTGATGCATTCATTCTTTTATTTATTCCATTTTTTATTCCTTCATTCTTTTGTTCATTCTATCTTTTATTCATTCGTTCTTTTATTCATCTATCATTTATTCCTTCATTCTTTTATTCATTCTATTTTTTATTCCTTCATTCTTTTATTCATTCCATTTTTTATTCCTTCATTCTTTTATTCATTCCATTTTTTATTCCTTCATTCTTTTATTCATTTTATCGTTGATGCATTCATTCTTTTATTTATTCCATTTTTTATTCCTTCATTCTTTTGTTCATTCTATCTTTTATTCATTCGTTCTTTTATTCATCTATCTTTTATTCCTTCGTCTTTTATTCATTCTATTTTTTATTCCTTCATTCTTTTATTCATTTTATCTTTTATTCCTTCATTCTTGTATTCATTTTATCTTTTATCCTTCATTCTTTTATTCATTCTTTTATTTTTTCATTCTTTTATTCATTTTATCTTTTATGCATTCATTCTTTTATTTATTGCATCATTTATTACCTCATTCTTTTATTTATTCCATTTTTATTCCTTCATTTTTTATTCATTCTATCTTTTATTCAATCATTTTTTTATTCATTCTTTCTATTACTCTTTTATTCTCTTATTCATCTATCTTTATTTCTTTTATTCTTTTTTTTCATTTAATACTCATTCATCTATTCATTCATTTATTCATCCTTTCTTTCATACATTTTAATTAATTTATTCTTTTTTCATTAATTCCTTATTTATTTATTTCACTCTTTCTTTCTTTCTTTTCTTGTTTTCTTTTTTCTCTTTCATTCTGATTCCTCTTCTCTATCTTTCAATCTTCTTTTTTCTTTTGACCCCCTTTGCTTGAAATCCTGCTCTCTCTTTCACTGATTTCTCGCATCTGCTCCTTCTTTATTCGCCATTCTTTTCCCCACTTTCATCTTCCATCCTTGACAATCTCTTTTTTTTTTCTTTCTTTCACTTATTCTTATTTTCTCATTCCTCTAATTCTTTCAAATTTCCACACTTTCTCCACCTCAATATCTTTCTCCTTAATCTCACTCTCTTTTCTTGGCAATTTCTTTCATTTCCTCACGTTCTCCATCTAAATATAATTCCTCCTCCTTCTCTCTATCGTTCTTCTCTTCATTTTTCTATATTTTACACTTCAACTTCCTTTCTCTCTCTCTCTCTCTCTCTCGCTTTCGCATCTCTCGTTTCGTTTTTCTTCGCTGTCATTTCCTCAGTCCGACCCAGTATGACATGTTGTTGCACAATGTAGCGAGCAACAAAACAATTTCTGCAGCTCCTTCTCAACAGACAACTTTTTCCCGCGTCTGACGCCAGTTTTTCGCGCTCTTTCATTGTCAAGCGCCAAAAGGCGACGTCCTCACATCCGACAAAATAAACACGCCGCATGCCGTACGCAATATATTTTCGGATTCCCAATTGGTTGTTTGGTTACACGCACACACACGTATATATATATATATATATATATATATATATATATATATATATATATATATATATATATATATATATATATATATATATATATCATCTGTTTATATTTTATCTTGTTTTCCCTTCTATATGTATGCACGAGTGTGCGTGCAAGCAAAGAGATTTCTTTTGCAGTTGGGAAGACGACATCGGAAAGATTCAGAGACTAAAATATTGACCAGAAATGATCATCAAGATATTTTAAAAAATAATAAAATAAGAATAAAAATAAAAATTTAAAAAAAAATGAAAAAATGATGGAGGTGGAGATGGTGGAGACCACGAAATCTTCCTCTTAAAATAAAGGATTAAAAATAAAAGTAAAATAAATCGTGATGATCATGATTGCGGTGGCGGTGGTGGTGGTGGTGTTGGCGTCGAATTAGGGATGGTGGTGGTAACGGTGGTGAAAATCTTCATGAGGATGGTGATGGAGATGTTGCTGATTATGGTGATGATGGTGATTATTATGTCGGCGTTGTTGTTGTTGTTGATGATGATGATGATGATGATGATGATGAATATGGATACGAAAGAGTAAAGAGGCAGGTGAAAAAAGTAGGCGAAGAAAAAAGAAAGGGAAAAGAGAATGAAAAAAGAAGGCGAATAAAAGAAGAGATGGGAAAAGAGGAAGGAAAAAAGGACTGAAGAAAGAAAGAAAGAAAGAAAGAAAGAAAGAAAGAATAAAAATAAACAATAAAACAAAAGAAAGAAAAGCTGAAAGAAAGATAGAAATAAAGGAAGAACAAAAAGAAGAAGACGGAGAGAAACATGAAAAAAGAAAGAAAGAAAGAAAGAAAGAAAGAATAAAAATAAACAATAAAACAAAAGAAAGAAAAGCTGAAAGAAAGATAGAAATAAAGGAAGAACAAAAAAGAAGAAGACGAGAGAAACATGAAAAAAAGAAAGAAAGAAAGGAAGAAAGAAAAAAGAAAGAAAAGAGAAAGAAAGAAAGAAAGAAAGAAAGAAAGAAAGAAAGAAAGAAAGAAAGAAAAAAATAAAACAATAAAAACAAAAGAAAGAAAAGCTGAAAGAAAGATAGAAATAAAGGAAGAACAAAAAGAAGAAGACGGAGAGAAACATGAAAAAAGAAAGAAAGAAAGGAAGAAAGAAAGAAAGAAAGAAAGAGAGAAAGAAAGAAAGAAAGAAAGAAAGAAAGAAAGAATAAAAATAAAAACAATAAAAACAAAAGAAAGAAAAGCTGAAAGAAAGATAGAAATAAAGGAAGAACAAAAAGAAGAAGACGGAGAGAAACATGAAAAAAAAGAAAGAAAGAAAGAAAGAAAGAAAGAAAGAAAGAAAGAAAGAATAAAAATAAACAATAAAACAAAAGAAAGAAAAGCTGAAAGAAAGATAGAAATAAAGGAAGAACAAAAAGAAGAAGACGGAGAGAAACATGAAAAAAGAAAGAAAGAAAGAAAGAAAGAAAGAAAGAAAGAAAGAATAAAAAATAAACAATAAAAACAAAAGAAAGAAAAGCTGAAAGAAAGATAGAAATAAAGGAAGAACAAAAAGAAGAAGACGGAGAGAAACATGAAAAAAGAAAGAAAGAAAGAAAGAAAGAAAGAAAGAAAGAAAGAAAGAATAAAAATAAACAATAAAACAAAAGAAAGAAAAGCTGAAAGAAAGATAGAAATAAAGGAAGAAAAAAAAAGAAGAAGACGGAGAGAAACATGAAAAAAAAAGAAAGAAAGAAAGAAAGAAAGAAAGAAAGAAAGAAAGAATAAAAATAAACAATAAAACAAAAGAAAGAAAAGCTGAAAGAAAGATAGAAATAAAGGAAGAACAAAAGAAGAAGACGGAGAGAAACATAAAAAAAAAAGAAAGAAAGAAAGAAAGAAAGAAAGAAAGAAAGAAAGAAAGAAAGAATAAAAATAAACAATAAAACAAAAGAAAGAAAAACTGAAAGAAAGATAGAAATAAAGGAAGAACAAAAAGAAGAAGACGGAGAGAAACATGAAAAAAGAAAGAAAGAAAGAAAGAAAGAAAGAAAGAAAGAAAGAATAAAAATAAACAATAAAACAAAAGAAAGAAAAGCTGAAAGAAAGATAGAAATAAAGGAAGAACAAAAAGAAGAAGACGGAGAGAAACTCGAAAAAAGAAAGAATGGAAGAAAGAAAGAAAGAAAGAAAGAATAAAAATAAACAATAAAATAAAAGAAAGAAAAACTGAAAGAAAGATAGAAATAAAGGAAGAACAAAAAGAAGAAGACGGAGAGAAACATGAAAACAGAAAGAAAGAAAGAAAAATAAAGACAAGTAGGTAAAAGTAAAAAGTAAGAAAAAATAAAGAAATTAAGGTGAAAGAAAGAAAAAAGAGAAAGACATAAAAAGAAAAATAAGAAAACAAGGAAATAAAAAGGATGCAAAAAAGTAAAAAAAACTGAAAGAAAGAAAAAGAAAGAAAGAAAAAGAAAAAACAGAAAGACATGAAAAGAAAAATAAAGAAAGAGATATATAAGAAAAACAAGAAAGTAAAAAGGATGCAAAAAAGTAAAGAAAAAAATGAAACAATGAACAAGAAAGAAAGAAAGAAAGAAAAGAGAAAGACATAAAAAGAAAATAAAGAAAGAAAAAACAAAGAGAGAGATGAATAAGAAACAACAAGGAATTAAAAAGGATCCCAAAAAGGTAAAGAAAAAAGTGACACAAAGAAAAAGAAAGAAAAAGGAGAAATGCATAAAAATAAAGGAAATAAAAAAAGAAATAGGATAAAAGATATAGAAAGAAAAAAGAAACACAGAAAGAAAAAAAAAGAAAGAAAGAAGGCGAAATATGCAAATAAAAAGCAAGAAAGAATTTCTTTTACTAGACGGAGCTGTGACGTCTTCATCATTACTTTTGTCGATCACTGAAGTTGTTTTAGTGCATGACGTCGTCAATAATCACAGTCGTTATTTTTAAGACTGAAAACCATTCATAACCTTTTTTTACCTTTATTATGCGCTCATTCATATATATATATATATATATATATATATATATATATATATATATATAAATAAAAATATAATAAAAAGGCTTAAACACTAATACTCCATGGTCATAATTTATTCCATTGGAATCGTAAATACGATCCAAATCATCAGACCTACAAATTCAAAATGAAAACAGAAAAAAACAACTCCGGAAATCAAAACAGAATTTAGAGAAAGTGTAAGTATGAGGATGAGTGACAGAGAGAATTTTTGGAGATGTGGGTGGGGTGGATTTAAAAGAGGAGAGAAAGAAAGTCGACGGATGTCTAATACATAAAGATACATTTCGTGGTGACATATACACCACAGACAATTCGGATAGGAAGGGAAAAAAAAAAAAGGGAAAGGGTGGGGGGAGAGAGATGGGACGAAGGAAAATAAAAATGTGTTTACATAAAGGGCCGCTTTCATAATTGGGAAAATTAAATCAAATATAAATATATGAAGATGAATATAACGATTGTCTCATTTCGCAAGGACCAAATATTTCTATGTTCAAAAACACATACTAATACACACAAAAAAACATATACAAGTAGGTACATACACTTAGGCATGTACACACACACACACAGACATACGTATACATACACATACATACACACATAAGCAGGTTTGTTTTTCTTCCATCTTCAGCAATTGTGTGTGTGTGTGTGTGTTTTTCTCTTCCATCTTCATAAACTCGCAGTGAAAATAGAGGAAGAGGGATTTCTTCATCTAAATCTTTTCTCTAAGAATCTTTCTTAGTTTGGTTTCTATTGCAATATTCAAGGTAAGAATATGAAAATGACTTTGTTTTAAAATAACATTTCGTCACTATTTATATATCAGTGCAACGCGCGCTTTAAATCGCCTGCCAATGATGAATGGACAATGGATATATTTGCTCTTTAATGTCTATTTGTTCTTGATGAGAAAACACACACACACACACGTACATTACATATATATATATGATAAGCAAATATAAATGGATATAAATCCGATAGAATGAAGAAAATATCTGGAAAAACAAAACAAAAATCCTTAAAATGCGATTATGTTGTTTTAAGGATTTCTGTTTTGTTTTTCCAGATATTTTCTTCCTTCTGTCGGATTTATATCCATTTATATTTGCTTATCATACTGTCCACTGGAAATACAAACCTGAATTCATTTTATTACATGGAGGACTGCATGCTTATCCGAAGATACAGGAACCTACTAGTCTCCGTATTCCTACAAGAACAGAAAAGATTTTCTATCGAACTGTATATATGAAAAATCTTTCCATCGGAATCAAATTTATAAAAATTTTTAAGAATACGTTTTGAAAGCGTCGCCCATTTGACGACAACGTGACCACGCTCAAACGGAAAGATGATCATTTAAAATTTTCATTTATCTGTTTTGGATAAGACTTGTTTTCGTCGTGTTATACTGATTATGTTAATTGTATTTCTAATGAATATTGTCCTGAAGAAGGTTATTAAACCGAAACGTCAGACGTCGACATTTCATTCATATTAAAAACAACATAATCGCATTTTAAGAATTTTTGTTTTGTTTTTCCAGATATTTTCTTCATATATATATATATATATATATATATATATATATATATATATATATATATACCTGTATTTACTCGTGTATACTCGTGTATAAGCCTACTTCATATGTAAATCGAACCCTGAAAGTTTTTTTTTTTTGTGAAAAGACCTGATTTCTTTCATATTACTCATGTATAATACGAGTCCAACTTCTGAGCAATACTCATGATCATCGCCTTTTGATCTCGCTATGCTTGACAATTCCTCTTTGACAATCCCTTTCCACACTGTTCGGTCCTGTGTTGCTGTCCACAGATTCCGAATGTCCAATCCTGAGTCCGGATCTATACTGCCTGTGAAAGTCAACTTTCGCGAGAAGACAACTCCAGAATGATGCCATAGAACTATAAAACAACATACGCGTCAGCTCCATGTCAGGGGCTGGCAAGCTGTAATCGTTGTTGTTTCAGCTTAAGCGATATTGGTCTCAGTTCTCCGTAAATTGTGTTAAGCTTTGCATGGACTCTCCAACTGATGTTCTGGATTTCTCTAAGCAGATTTGTATATGTTCTATCCAGTCGTCTATCAAGACGAAGAGATAGTGTCCAAGTTTCTTATCCATACAGTAGGACTGGCTCTATCAGTGTTCAAATGGTTTGGACATAAGCAGGATGGAATTATTAATTTAATGGATAATTAAAGTCTCCATTTTCTTATTCTCATTATTATGCTCTGTAGTCTACATTGAGCTCTCCCTGGATCTATATCCTCCTCGGAATTATCTCTTCCAGCCACAATCTGGTAAGACGTATATATATATATATATATATATATATATATATATGCGCATCGAGCAGATATGAATTTACGTGAGAAAATCATGGAAAATTGTAGTTTAAAAACAGAAAAATCGACCTTGCTAACCGAACGCTTTTCTGTGACGAAATCGGTAAATCCACGTCAGGCGATATGACGGTTCCGTATAGGATACAGGTTCGATTCCTGTCGAGGGACGGATATTTTCTATGACAATTTCTCGAACATTCAGGCCGGCAAATGTAATTAGTACTGTTTATTATAAACAGAGCAGTTACTTAAACATTTGTATCTATAAAAAGTGTCTTAAATATTATATATATATATATATATATATATATATATATATATATATATATATTTGTTTGAATAAAAGACAGACCACGTTAAGATTCCATGTAATAAGCTATTTCACCATAACCCCTTTAACAGGGTTCTGGATCATCAGAGTTTACTTCTAAAAGCTAAAATGAAAAGAAATTCACACGTTTTTTACGGACCTCATCAAGTATACGCAAAATTAACGAAGTGAGGTGGGAGAGAGGATATGAGTGTGTCATATGTATCATTTTAGTTTCCTATTTTAACCCCAGTGTGTCGGCTGGATGTTGCTCAAATTTAACGCGTCTCGTTTCTAGATAAAGGTGGCTAAGGGGTGAACGATAAGAACTACATTAAAGGAAGACGTTACAACAACCCCAATAAATTACACGACAGGTTATATATCGTTGCTTAGTGATCCACTATGTAAACATAACAATGACAGACTATATCATCACTGTCGTGTCCATATATTGTTTGATATGTTTGTATTTACATCTTTGATAATGGCTTGAGTAAGATCCGCCTGTCAAGAAAAAGAATTCGGACGTCCTAAATCGATAAGTTTTTTCCTTTTTTTTTTTTTATCCTTTATTTTCAAAAAACCTTTTTATTTTTCGTTTTCTTTCTTGGTTTTCTTATTGCCTTTTGTTGACTCGGTATTTTTATTCTTTCTCGTTTTTTTTCCCTCCCGCATTTTAATTTGCCGTTTTCCTTTTTGTTAAAACTATTATTGTCTTTGGTTTCCCCCATTTCGTTTTTTTTATTTTTGTTCTTAAATAACAAATTTTGTCCTGTGAGTTTTTACGCCGTTAGACTGTGGTGGGTTTTTCCACCATGGTCGACAACAACAATTCAACCTTCCTAAGACACCGGTTCCAGACCCGGCGTCGCCTAACAAATCGGCCTGGGTAGAAAAACAGGCCGGCCCAGAAAGATGGCAGCTTTATGCTAGCCAAAGAAGTGTATTTGAAGAAACATTCAAGAGCAATGAGTTCCTCACTATTAAGGAGGCCCTAAGTGCTGTGGAACTGAGAACAATTTCCCTGCTGACTTCGGACGTGAAAAAAAAAAAAAGTTATTTGGAGTCAGCAGGGAAAGCATGGAAGAAACTCTGAAGGCTCTTCATACACCCAAAGTGCTGGCGAGAAGAACTAACGCCCTATGGGACATTCTTCTCGCAACAGAACAAGAAGCCAGGGATTTGGCCGAGAAGACGTTGTCGTCCAAGACCCTGAGACTTCAGACAGAATACATGGGCACCCGCAGGACAAGGATTACCGTCCATGGGGTGCCCGTGGACATTTCCGAAGACAGGATGGGGGCCTTCTTCACCAAGTATGGAGAGGTGAATGAAGTAAAGCCCTCAGAAGTAAGGCTGGAATTGAGACGGGGACATGGAGCTGCAGTTAACTCTAAATAGAAGTGCATTTAGGGACGTCCCCAACACGTTGACCTGCCGAGATAGGAGGATGCTGGTGGTGGTGGAGGGGAAGCCTTGGTGCCTGGTCCTGTGGTGTGTCAACACATGGCGAAGGAGTGCCCCAGTAAGAAGGGCACACAAGCTGCACCACAAACAACAGCTGCAACAGCAAAAAAGTTTTGCAAGTCGACCGGAGGAGGGGACGTCTAAATCGGACGGAGAGTGGAAGGAGGTGGTCAGAGGCAAGAAGTCTCCGAAAGTTTTACCTCCACCCCCAAAAAAAGAGATACCTCAGCCGGTTAAAAAGTGAAAGAGGTGCAGGCAACAAAAAGAAGGCCAGCAGCAGCAACAGCAGCAGCAGCAGGAACCAAAACAACAACAGCAGCAGCAGCAGCCGAAACAACGGAAGCAACAGAGGCAGCCAAAAGATCAGCAGCAGCAACAACAACAGATGGAGGTGGACAGAAGCCCCACCTCGTGCTTCATCCCTGAAAAGGTGCAGGGAGGAAGACGAAGACGACGAGGAGGAAAATAAAGACAACAAAAAGAGCCTAGCAGTAGTAGGGCGGAGGAAGGCATGGAGAGATCCAGGTCGCTCTCCGTCCCTGCTTCCCCAAGAAGATCGGTGGCTGCGACCAAACCTAGGGGAGCCACCCTCCTCCCCGTCCCGTGCTCCACCCTCTCCTCCACTTCCTCCTCCCTAGATGCTTCGGCCACCCCTGCCCACACGTCTACCTCTTCCCTCCCCACCCGTCCCGAGAGAAAA